TTTAGCTACATTTTTTAATGATTTAACTCAATCCAGCAAATTCACGAAACGCGATTCTGATTTTTCTGCGTGATGTTTTTCGATTCGCAAAGGTCGCTTCTGTTATTTTCCTACCCGGTACTTTGATATCTTCAGCATTTCTAGCAAGTCATCATTGAGCGATCGATCAAGCGGAAAATTAATAGGCGATCTTATTTCGATGACGTCGCGGCGTGAAAAGCGGTGCAGTCGTGCGAGAATCACGATATGTCACGCATAAGTAAGCGTTTGGCTCGTTTGTAATGTGGAGTAATGCGTGTTTAAATCGTCGCTTGTAATTCACGCAAGCTGGAATCTGGTACGAACGCGTACGGATATACACACCCGGATACATTACATATATCTAGTCGATAGTTTGCGTTACGATTACCGCTGGGAAATCAGAAAATTATTGCAATTTTGACGAAAAAAAAGAAAGAGAGTTTTACATTGTACAGAAATTTATTCGCGTCACGGAATTGGTTTTCAAACTTAATTTTAGCAGAACGAAATTCCGTATCGTGATGAAACAAATGAATTAATCGCGTGCATCAAAATAAATCCTTGAATCTATCATTCAACCAAAAAATTAAAAAAAGAATACAGCATTAATTATAATGTAATATATTTTCTTAATAGACCAATGAAAAAATATAAAATATAATAATTTTTCTTAGTAGAAAATATACAAAAATAATATTATATTCATAATATAAAACTGAAACGATACAATGATCTCGGACCGTGCCTTAAAAGTCAACACGCACTTGCACTATCGACCGTTGTGTATATCATCGCGAGTTACATGAGCTTTTACGCGCGACGTGGAAGTCGGGTGGGGAGATCGCGTACGGGCGATAAATTATAATTAGAATCGAGCCGAATGTGACAATCTCTGGCGCGCGTGAATCATGTATTAACCCAGTCGCTAATGGGTATTAACCGTGAGCCGTTTAAAATTACAGCTCGTCCCGCTGTATCCATCGCAATGCGCGAGAGAGCAAGCCGGTGCGCATACTTTATCCTACATATTGGGATGCAATACCGAACCGGTAGCAACCAGTAGTGCGATTCGACGCTTCCGGGATCGCTTTCTACGCCGCACTTACAATACATGAAGATTTAATTAGCACGAAAATTCCTTGATGAATAAACGCGATTGAAGTGAATGCGCGTGCAAGCGCAGTCACTGAATGTGTTCGACATTTCTTTGTCCTTTTTTTTTTTAAATTAAAAATTTTTTTAATTGACAATCTATGATATAAGAAGATCCCAAATAACTACGCATTAATTTATAGAATTCTTTCATAATTGTTCGTATCAAATTGAAAGAGATTTCACATTTATATCGAGATTTAATTAATTGATATTTATTACGTCTTTAATTCATCTTGACAAAGGCGAAATATTAAGCGTTATTTGTGCGCCTCAAATTCTCGTGCCGTTATCAGACTTCAGCGTTATTCACTTTGTAATTGCGGGGAATAAATTATCTTAAGCTATCTAAAATTGCGAATTCCCCTTCGCAACTTTCATAGCAAAGCGCAGAAGTTGTTCGCGGCAACCGTAGTATAATATAATATTACCAGCATCAATGCTCATGACACGAGCTACTTGGAAATTTAATTAATTAAAAATGCTTTGCTTGGGGGTAAATTACACAGGAAAAAAATGATTTTTCTTCTCTGACTTCATTCAGCGTAGCAGAATGACTCGCGTAAACGGCTTCAAAGAAATTATTAAAGAAAACATCGAAGAAAGTTTGCAATATTGTGAAATTATACAAATATCTCAATATCTAAATAAACTCAATTTACTTATCAATAATGTCGCAGTGTCTTTCTTCCGTCTTCGTTCCTTCATTTGCATTTCGCTTAATGCGAGCTAAAATCCAATTTTAGCCTCCATCTGGATGAAATTACGAATGCGCAACCTTTTAGCAGAGCTAAAAAGAAGCGCGATACTTGCGATTTAATTAAATCATAAAATATGACGACCGAGCGGCGGCAATTAAGTACTCTTTTAGAGAATACCGATAGCAATTCACTCTTTCGCGTCGCGAACATTTACCTCCGTAAACCGGCATGCATCTTACCCCCAGTGGCCGCATATGTCGCTTCCGGGATTGGGGTTTACACCGTGAGGGTACTTCGATATTTAATTAACGAGTGCACTTCGATCGCAAGCGCTCACGCGTCGCGCATCAAACCAAATCTGTCCGCGCCTGCACTCGGATCACGTGCGATCTATACATCGAAGAGCGACGAGCGGTTGAGAAAAATGGACCGCGCGCCGGTTGAAACGCGATTTAATTGCATCGTGATGTAACTCGTGAGAGAGTGGTCGCTCCATAATCCGACACAAATTTCCAGCATGTCGAGTATCTTTGCAACTATCTTGTCGAATTTATTATAGAGATATTTAACTTTTCTTGTATACCTGCTAATTACAAAAATATTTAATTTTCTCTCATTTTCAGTTAAAAAAAAAAATGATTCTTTGTATTTTGTATTTTTCCTTGATTTAATTTAATATGACGAAATAAAAAAGTCAACCAGACAGCTGTCGCAAAATTCATCATTAACGCTATACGGTTCGTGTTATATGTATAATGTCTAAATCATGTTGTGCGAAAATTACACGAGGCAGTATAAAAAATTTTTCAGTGAAATTGTGTTTTTTCCTCTCGCGTTTCATTCGTCTAGCCAGACGTTAGTTACGGTCGAGTTAATTTTATTATTGTAACGACGAATATATTGTTAGCGGCGAACACGCGCGAGTAAGGGCGCATAATTTCGGCCGGAGAGATTAATAATGGTATTCTGAACTTGAGATCTGTATTTCGAGTACACGTTGCTCGCGCGCGTTTGCGATTAACGTCGCGCGTTGTTGTCCGCGCGTAAATTATGCACAAACCGTGGTCGTTAAAAATTTATTAAACGCGCTTGCGGCGTTCTCGATGTTCAAAGGAACGTCGTTACTTTGCAAGTCCGCGCACTAGCCGCTCATTACAGAAGACAATTACGTTGTCTCTCCGTTCGTTCCGTCGAGACAAATGACAAAATAGAAAGAAACGGCGGACGAACGACGATGTAACGTATCGCGCGTCATGGCCATGCATTCACGATTTCCGCGTATTTAATAATAATTTTTATCGCGTATTTTTATTATTTTACAATTATTAATATTTTATAACGTGTTGGTAATAAGAGTCGCGAATCAAATGATAAATTGGTGTACATTCTAACATTCGGAATTCGATATATCGCGATAAAATTGCAAAACGAGTTTCAAAGCGCATTACAAGATCATTTGAAAATACAATTGCTTAACTTTCCATATCATACTTCATATAAATGTTTTATTATATAGTTTCATTAAAATTTCATCATAAGCGCGTAGAGGGATTGTATAATCCCTGGAAACAGGAAACAGAATAATTATATGCATTACTCCTAGTGGTCTGTTACAACTGAACAAAAATAATGTAAAGAGATTCGCTTGGGTGCGCATACTTTTATTACGACGATCCGATATGTGTATACATTATATGTAGTATACACATATATATCCTTTGACCCCGCCATATTTCATTAAATCAACCTCTAATATTTATAACAGCCCCGCCGTCGAGCGACCAAGCTGTGACATAATAACCAGACGCAATTTTAATTAGCATTATTGTGCAAAATGTCTATTCGTATCGCAAAGCGTGCTTTTAACGAGGGGTGGCTTACGAGTATCGAATTACTTTGCGGAAGATTAAAATCGCCGCCTAACGAGGTCGGCCGGCAAAATAAATTCGTCTCCAAGTATTTCACGCCGCGCGTACCACAAGGGAAAGAAATGTAGAGAAGGGAAAAAAAGTAGAAAAATGATCATTAGGGTATGCGGTGACAAAAAATAAAAGATGAAGGAAGAGCTCAAAGCAGATATTAGTCAGGGCGCGGATGTGCGCGAAGATCAAAGGGAGGAGGTAATGTGCATACGCGTAATACCTGGCCCACTCGGTATAAGAGAGAGACGATTACTTTATCAATTCATCTTGGTAAAAATGTAGAAAATAATGAAGAGGGAGACGAAGCGGACAACACGGCAAATGCGTAGCGTGGCTCTTGCACAAGTGCAGTTAACTCTTTGACCACAAAGGATATTAGACTGCTCTTTTCCCGCTGTTCTATGTTCGCGGCTCCCGTAGCAAACTATAATCTTTGATCACGTAACGCGATGTTACGAGCGTACGCATGTAAGAAACGAGAACTCGCGTGTAGTGTTGGGAAATCTTCGCAAGTAAATCGAGGAATATATATCAAGAAATCAAACGCGCAACCAATATATACGTTACAAGATGTGCTTCCAAAAATTACAAAAATAATTGAAAGGACATCTAGAATTCTTATTACTTTTTTTTTTAATTTTTTGGAAAAGTAAGGCTAACTTTACATAAGTAAAATAATATTTTAATTATAATTTAAATTATTTAATTGTATTATATAATATTGTATAATATTGTATTATAATTGTATAATATTGTATTATAATTGTATTATAGTAATATAAATTTCTCTCGCAAATTCTTTTGTGTAATTCCGAAAATCCCGCGCATTTTAAAACAGAAACCATGTAAAATTAAAAAGACAAATTTGCAGGTTAAGCGGAATTTATTACTAAACTAACTCAGTAAAAGTTATAGACTTTGATGTCTGAAATCTAGGAAATTATAATAGCTACGACGACAACTATTATCAGAGTTCGCTTAAGAAAACGAGTAAAATAATAAAATAAAGAAAACGACAAACGGCGCGTCGACGAAATCGTCGTTCATATCGCCGGTGCGTCCGCGCGCACAAATAATCTCGTTAAAAATTTATTAATCACGGCCAGGTGCACGGATCAAAGGGCAGAGAAAGCAGCTACTATACACGTGAATTATCTGGCGCACGCCTTGCTCGTTACGAGGGAAGATAACTCTAACTACTCACCTCCACGAGGGTGATGAGGATGATGAAGAGAGGCGGCGGACAGCACGTATAGTGATCGGCGTAGTACTTTCGGTCCCGTTCCTCCGTTAGGAATTCATCGCCGATCATGCGGACCATCCTGAAAACACAAATGCATCGCAATGATTAGAGAGTGTGTTTGTAATCATATTTGTCTAATCCCCACCAAAAAAATTGAAGACCTATGCTAAAGTTCTAGTGTCATTCTTCACTACAATGCATTGAAATCTTATATTTTAAACAAAGAAATGATCTAGAATGTTAATCAGCTAATACTGAACACTTGATTATTATAAAGAAATGTTTTAAGTTCTTCGATAAATTTAATAATTAACTTTTTTCTAAACACAGATATATTTAATTTATGTTTCAAATAACTTTTTGAACGTGTAAAAATATCTTTACGGTAAAAATGTAAAATATTGATTCGAATTTAACATGAATTACTTAAACAACAACAACAACAATTCCTATATTATCGAAATGCATATATTATGTGCCCTATATTTAATAATATACATATCAAAGACTGACGAGTACTTTTATTTGAATAATTGCGACTCAAATTTACATACATTATTGTGAGAAGCATCCGCTAAATGTAATAAATAATTTTCCATTAATCGACTCAGCATCGGTATAAGAATATTCGCGTGCACAAATGTAATTATACATTAGCAAATAAATAACTAATGTTTGCCAGGCAAACAAGGCTGTATGGAGCCATATGTATGTATAAGAAGAAATTCATAATAGCATTTTATTTATGCCATTCTCGTGGCGATGCGTCAATAAACGCGATCGAATATTTCCAATTAAACTTCTCCATAGTATTTCACTTCAAAATGGGAGGGCTCGGCAAAATAGCCTGCAATGCACGCAATCGAATCTTTTGAGCCAAACTTCGCAAAATGACTTTGTTTGCGTATGCTGGGTATTAAAAAAATGAAAAAATTCCATAAATTGAATGCAAACGCAGTCATTCTCGCAAAGTAATCTACGAATTTGCCTAAAACGTGAACCGTTCAACCTTTGTCCGAATAATTTTTGTTCTTTCAAAAACAGTTTTTTAATTGAACGAGTACAGTAACCGCAACGCGTATTTGATTACACCGTGTGAAATACGAGCGTTCCGAAAAAAATCTGGTCGCTCTATTGTCTATCGTTAATAACGAAATGATTTTCGAAAAATACTCGGCAGATAAATTTAAGACAGCGGTCGGGAAATAATTGTTTTTTGCGTACGCATCTACAGTACTTTCATTAATTCAGATCTTGTTCCACCGATTGGAAATAACGCGATACAATGGAGCAGAGCAAACAATAAAGTCATGTTACTAGTTTGAAAAGCATCTTTTCGTTGATAACGCAGGCTGCCGCGTTTCTATTGTTGCTGCTATTTCGCATCGGCCAACAGGTGAGAGCACTGAGTTAGACGTACATGTAATCGGTAAACGCTCGGCCACGGTAACGAGATACATCCCAGTAATTAAAAAATAAAAAATTGGTCTGACTCTTGAAAAGAATGTCGGACGCGGCATTCAGTGAGTTGAAATTGATAACGCAAACAAGTTTAATTAATGAGAATATAAATGGATAAAGTTTAAATTTGCAAAGCAAATTCCTAAAACAGACATGTGAAAATTTGATAAATGCAATATTGAACATCACAAAAAAAAATGCACATGATTGTATTTCTTGAAATGTTTAAAGAAGATATTTATTGGGAAAAAAGTACGTGAATAAAATAGTTTTCAGAAAAAAGAAATACAGTATTTCTTCCAGAAAAAAAAAATAAATTTTCTATTATTCAATTAATTTTACAAATATCTATATGATTTACAAATATCTATATAAATGAACAGATGCTCACAAATTGACTTTTCAACTTTATTTAGAAAAACAATAACGGGACTCTCGTGGAATTCCGAAAAGCCGAGTTTCAAGACAGCGCTTTATATACTCGCATGCGAGAACGTAAAGAAGAATAGATAAAACAAAAAAAATGGACATCTTCACGCAGAGTCCTGCACGAGTTAGAAAATTAATCTGTCGATTCTCCAGAGAGTGTCTTCGAACTAATCGCCGGCCTTTGTAGCAATTTTAATGCTACGAGACGCCTCGTTAATCGTCGCCGGGGGTAGCAAAATAATGAGGAATTAACTTCGGCGAACCTCCTTGCCGGCCGATCCCCGAAGAAAAGAAAAACACTCTCGCGAACAATTACGCGCGAACTCTCTGCTACCCATAGCCTTCATTATGCTCGAGTATTCTTTCCTCCTCATTTACGATCTTCGTTACGAATGGAACGCCGGGCGGGAACATTGCCGGGAAATTCTTTCTAAGAGCGCCGGACAGCACGACGAAAAACGCTCTCTGCATACAAATGTTAGTTATTCCCCCGACACGCTTCAATGCTCAATATTTCTTTATAATATTATTACTTCGGACTTGATTTTCGAACGGTGTAAATTTTTTAAATACGAGATTATACAATTGCGGGAACCAATCGATATGATTGCGGCAAAAAAATATAAGACTAATAAACAGTGTGTTGCAACATCGTAGTCCATATTTTTATGATTTCTATTTGTCCGTAAAATTCACATTCTATCTTGATCTCTTCTCTACGACTTTCGCTTGCTATTCACTCAAGATATTCGCTTTCGAGGTATCTTCCAAGACATCAAATACAGAGACTGATCTGTATTGGTGAACGATACGCACGATCTTGCACGATCTCTTTTCGAGTCTTATCCGCTTCGCCGACGAAATAGCTTTTGCATGCCTCCGCCATTCCTTCACGCGCACCTCGATTCCTCCATCAGCCTTTCCATCCCTATTCTATCGGCTGTCTTACTTATTTACCAATCTCGTGGAGAGACCACCACGGTCACTCAGAGATAAAGTGCCGATCGGATAAGACACGTCAACGGCATTGCTACAAAGAAACGTAAAAACAATAGCCTCGCTCGAAAAATAACTTCGCGTACAAGAAATTAAGTAAAGAATAAATTAAACGCAAACGCAGCTTACATTTTAACAAAGTCAACCTCGTTCCATTCAACATTATCTTGTTCGTTTCGAGTAAAAGAAAAAGATGGCAGTTTTAAAAAAGTCATTAAAATAAAATCAATTATACTGTCGTAATATTTTTTTAATAATTATGTAACGAAAAATTTTTAAATATTATATAAATGAGATTACGCCTATGTATATATATATATGTTTATATATTATATATCATATGTGTGATACATACAACGTGTTATTTCATATAATACAATAGATAGTGCTCGATAAATCTCCGCTGGAAGCCGTCATCGAATCGCTGTAATCATGAAAACCACGTTGGGAAGGGTTATCATCGCGCTAAGCCCCGAAAATCCAGGTAATTCGCTCGAAAATCCAGGTAAAATCGCAGTCCCCTACACGAAGGCGCGTTTACACGTTGCTCATTTTCCCCGCTTTCCCTCATTCGATTCGCGACGACGACGACGACGACGATGGTCGATAGATAAAACAACGCTTGGGAGGGAGCCGTCGACTAAAACGTACAAACGGCGCCGATAAATCGACTGCGCTGATCGTGGATCGTGGAAAAAAATCCAATATCACGTACGAGGACGGGTAATAAAAAAGCGGGATCTAAATTCGGAAAACGTGGCGCGGGAGAGTGGAAGACCGGAGTGAAGAAGGCGGTGGTAGTGCAGTGCGGCTCTTATACCTTGGCTCTTCTCTCTCCGCGATGCTATCTCTCTCGCTACGTAGGAGAGCGTAGAATAATTACGAAGAAATATTGGCCCGTAACTCAGTCCACTATCCATAATATCTGCAACGTTTATGGCGCCGGGGAGATAAACCATACCCCGTCTCGCTCTATCTGGTGGCGCGTGCGCCACCGCCGCGGCCGCACATCGCTTCTGCGTTCGTTCCGATTCATCGCGCTGACGAGAGGCGCGTGTATGGGTGCGACAAGTAACTTGTGTACGCGATACCGGTACTTACGGCGCTCGCACTTACGTGACGACCAGGCGCGCACGAATGCCACGATCGGATGGATCGGCAATTAGTCGAGGCGCGAGTGTTCGTGACACTTCGCACGGAGACGCGTTTCAAATGTTTCGCGGAGTTGAACTCTGCTGCAAACGTAAAAATGCAGTGCAAATCGAAGTCTTTCGCGTTTCAAACCATCGGTAAAATTATTGTCAATTTTCAGAGTTTAAACTATAGAAAATATACGATTAAATTTATTAAAAAGACATACAGATACTGTATGCATAGCACACTTGCACCGACATTAAATATAATTAATGAATATTTCTATATTTTACGTCGGATATTTTTGCGCAAACTTTATAACAATCGGCAATATACAGTATTTCATTATAGCCTCTTCGTTATTAATCAATATAACGTGCAAAATTAGTTTAATTAATTTCCACACGCGATGCAAGGATAGAAATTATATTATCCATTCAAAAAACAAAATTCGTCCGTTAAATTTGTCATGAAATTTATGAGAAAAAAGACCTCGCCTTGTTTACATCGGGCTCATTTTGCAAATTGTCCCTTGTTCACTTCGCTGCGACTTTGATAAAATTTTAATATATTGCGCTACAATTACATAATATCAATTTCATGAAAAAATAAGCGCAAAATACATAAAACATTAGGCGTGTTTGCGTCGTCGTATTATTCAAGCTTCATTAAACATTCAACATATGCGATTCGAACTAATGGAAATCTGTGTTTGTAACGAATATGAGTTTTATTTTCATTTCGTGGTGATGTAATCGCGACAATATCCACGCCAATTAAGAGGCGATAGCGCGTAAACCTGTCTGCGCGACGGGCGCATCATCAAGTGCATCGCCGGGCAAATATACATATAAAATATTAGAGACACCTTTGTGTAACCACGTTCATCGGCGTAAGTACATTAAGCTCTCTAATTACTCGATCTTGCGCTAACGGCAATCCGTTATCGTACCGTGGATATATAATTTACTGCTGGAAATTGCATCCAGGGAACGTGTCCGACAAATTTCCCCTCAAAGTAATTCCACGTGGATCGAGCGACAACGACGGTCGTGTTGA